AGGCCCAGTGCCGTCTGCCACACGCCGCTGCAAGAGCAATTATGAAACATCCTTCCCATAAAAATAAAAAGCGTGACTGTAAAGCAGGAACACAGCACGTCCCGGTCTTGATTGAGGGCTGTTGCGAGTTCAGATAAAGGCGGTGCCGAGCGGAGAGGGCTTTTTCGCAGCAGGAACATCTTGCCCAAGATAAAACGCCTCTTGCTCTGGCAGCCAGAGGAAAACCGCAATCAGGGAGCAGGCTGGCAATCTGACCGTGTGGCATCAACATGGCCTGGCTATGAATAATACACAGGAGCGGAGCAGAAGGCGGGAGGCCGAGGGGCGGGACCCGGCACCCAGAGCTAGAGCAGCGGCTGCAGACTTGCCCGCGCGAGGCCCGGTGGTAAATATTTCAGGCTTTGCTGGTCCCTGGTCTCTGTACTCAACTCTGCCACTGCCGCCAGCAAACGGCCATTAGCAAAACGTGGATGGAGATGGTTGTGTGCCGATAACACTTTTATTTACCAACACGGGCAATGGCTGGTGCTGGCCTGTGGGCTGGCTTGCTGACTCCTCGTCTAGAGAGAGAGAGAGCGGCACAAGAGAAAAGTGGGCTTCACGCTGGGGACACCATCATTTTTCTTCATCTCTAAAGTCAACAGGTCACTCGCATTCCAGAACCATCTTATCACCGAAGACTTCCCGTGAAATGCAAAAGCAACACGCTGCACAGGGGTGTGGTGTGGAGACTGAGGACACGCTTCTTGCTGCATTCCTGCTCAGGTTGCTCTAACAGGGGGCATGTTCCCATAGCAACAGTGATGACCGTGGAGCTGGAAGTGACCCCTCACCTGTGTAAGCTCTCAGGACACTGAATAATATCAGGAAGTGCAGGTGACTCTTCTCTTCTCAAAGTCTGTTCCAGGTCTGGACGCAGGTGTGAGCCTGTTGACGATCTGCTGTCCTTCCTGACCTCTCAGCACCGGCCCCAAGGTCCTTGGAGGAGGTCAGCGCTCACACCATCCCTGCCAGGCACCATGCTAAGCTCCCCGTGTCTGCAGGCAAGGCCCTCATCCCCTGTTCGTTGTGAGAGAGCTGAGGCTCAGGGAAACTAAAGAACTCGCCCAGGGACCACCAAGGAGACCCGCCCTCTCTCTCTCCCTCCCCCCACCAACCTCACTCACTCTGGGAGGCCCTGTGGTGAAAGTAAAGACCCCCACTTGGAAGACCTCACTCAGGGTGTCAGAGACGATAGCCCAGCTCACAGCTTGACCTCACGGGAGGCCCCGAGCCAGGCCACCGAGCCCAAGTGCTCCCAGACTCCCAACCCTCAGAAACTGAGATGATAAAGGTCTGTTGCCCTGAGCTGCTGAGTCTGAGGCAGTTTGTGATTCAGTCACCAATAGCCAATCTGTACAGCTGGAAAGATGAAATGCTGTGGCCTGACCTGGGTCACCTTGGATGGGGATGGGGAGTGTGGATGGAGCAAACTGGAGGCCCAGGGCGGAGGGGGGGTGGGGGGGGTAGGGAGAGGGAGACAAGCGCATTGTGTGGTCAGAACACTTTTGCCCGCTGGGCCCGAGTAGAGCCCTCTCCCGGCACCAGCACCCCTGGTGTGACCGCTGGAAACACCCTTCCCACCACTGTAACCCCCAGGAGTGTTGGACCCGCCCATGCCGAGAGCAGAGTTCTCACTGCAGCTGCTCCAGGCTGTGTCCCACCATGCAGGTGCTCTGGGGCCAGGTGGCCAGACACGTCGCTCTGCACACTGAGCCACAGGGGCCTGCCTTTGTGCTCCTACCAGTGATTGGCAGAGGGCATGCCCTCAGGCAGCAGAGAGGAGAGCAGGCCCCTTCCCTGCATCCATGTCACCTCTGCTGGAGCAGCACCATCACCAAAGCTGCACAGCAGCCCAGAACCCTGCGGGCCATCTGGCAACAGGAAGTGCCTTTCATCTCCGTGGTCCCAAAGTCTTCAAAGAGCCCGTAAGGAGGGGCCGCAATGGGTATACGCACAGGAAACATTGGCTGGGAGGCTTGGGGGAGCCAGGCAGGTGTGGGCACCTGGCGTAGGCAGAAATGAAGTTCATGACTCAGCTGGATTAGAACGGGATTCAGACAGCACTGCCTTTAGAGATGCCAAATTACTTTTTTTTATTATTTAAAAGAGAGAGGAGAAACCACGAGGGCCACAGTGACAACCCCAGAGCACTGCCGTGTGGGAATTCTATGAATGGGACCCCCAGAGGGACCACTGGGAGGGGAAATCACTGGAATAACAGTTTGAGTAGGGGACACGAGGAAAGGACGTGGGGGTCACTTTCCCCAGGGTGACCAGAAGCAGCCGCAGTTTCCCCTGCTTCCTGGATGTTCCTCAGGGTCTCCTCCACTCTCGGGCTGGCAGTCAACATTGCACAGCCTCCTGCAGCCACAGGTTCCGGGTGGCAAGGGTCTCAAGCCAGGCCACTCCCCAGACTTCCACCTGGCTCCTGGGAGAAAGCATTCTTTCTGCTGGACTTGCTGTTCGCGTATGGCCTGGATGGATGTGGCCATCCATCCAGGGAGGGATCAGGGTGGATAGAGGCCCAGCCTGATCATGAAGACCGAGACCCCAGATCAAGCCACGCTTGAAGCTGCATCCTTGGCTTCTGTTATATGAGCACATGTCTCGGTTCTGGTTTAAGGAAATTTGGCTGCATGCCTGCCCCTAGGGGTTCATTTTGGGGAGCAAAACCGCTATGAGAATGATGAAATACAAAATATATTCTAGTAATTTGACTTTACACAACTGTGGGAGGAGCTAGGGACTTCGAGATTCAAAAGAAGTTGGAAGAGGGGGTCACTGAGCAGTACCCCAAGGCAGGGCTGCTGTTGGGAAGAAGGACACATGCCACAGGGAAGACCCCAGCACCCATGATATCGGGCCAGGATGACCATGCCCCTCTCCCACCTTCCAAAGCCCAGGCATTTCTGTTTGGGACAAGTCCTCCCGGAGCCACACAGGGGAAGAGTCCTGGGAAGGAGCAGTGACACCACCCACATCACCCTACTTGTACTTCCTGTGCAGAGTCCTCATTTCACAAACGTCACCTGAGTCACCAGGCCTCCAACTAATTCACACCCAGCCACCTTCTCGACCAGCCCACGTGGGCAATTCTGTGTCTTCCTCCTCCTCTCTGTGAGGAGACCTGACAGGAGCCAGGCCCCAGCTTCAGCCGAGAAGAGGAGCATCTGTGTCCTGCCAGATGCCCAGGCTGCCCGGACTCAGGGGAAGTGGTCCCTGCTCCCCGGTGATTCCTCTGTGCTGGAAAATCACATACCCTAAATTTGAGTCCTTGATCCACTCTGAGCAGACCTATGGGGTCTCCACACCCCTCTCCCTCACCCCTAACACCTATGGAAAACCCTCCAGCTGCAGTCCTCTCCCAGAGAGGCTCACCCCTTTGGGCACTGCCAAGGGTCAAGGGGCAGATGCCACTTCCCATGATTGGCCCTTCCTGGAATGGCTTGCCTCAAACCTGATGGTCCCTTCATCTGGGCCACACCAGTCCATGTAGAAGGAGGAGGGGCCCTCTCAGGCAGAGGGGCAAGACTGGGACCAACAACCCTAAAGCCTTTTCCTCATCAGCTGCCAACTCAATAGCATCTGTCACAACGTCTGACACCCTATCACACGCCTGCTCGGCGTCCCCCAGAACCAACTCCTGCACATGCTTGCTTTCTTCTGTCGGCCAGCAGCATCCTTATCTGTACCTGGAACAGTGGGTGCTTCTGCACCACCTCCTGGCCCAGCCTGCTCTCCGCAGTTCCCAGCAGTCCCTGCTTTGTCCCTGTCACTTTGTGTGGTTTCCTAGTTGGGACAGCGAGAGACTCTGCAAGCGCCTACAGCCTGGGCCTGCCAATGGCTTCCCACCACTCTATGTGCGGCAGCACCCAGTGTCAGTACCTTTCTTAGCTCACGCCTACTAGTCAGATGGTTCTCTGCCTGCTTGCTAGGTAAGAACTTGGAACGCACTGCTCTGAGCTGCCCTATTCTCCAAAAACTTACACGGACCCCACAACCACTCATCCCCACCTGAGCACGGCATCCTTCCTCATTCTCCAGCCTCCAGGCCATCATATACCTGGACCATTTCCTCCCGGTGGTGGAGGCCACCACCGAAACCTTGGCTCTCTGTGACTGCAGGCTTGCAAGAGCCATCCTCTCCTACAGATACCTGGGGCAGGTCCCCAAGAAGCCGAGACTAAAGCCAATGTCTGTTTGAAAGCTCTGACTGGCAGGCCAAAGCCAGGAGAGGGACCTAGTGGGAAAGAGGTTTCAGAGTTTGGTCTTGTCATCCCTAACTCATCTGAGACCCCAAAAGCCTGTCTTAATGTAACGTACGACCCAGGCAACCTTGAATTTCTAAAAGGGTTAAGTGCTTGTGAGGTTTCTGCTAGGGCTGGCCCCAAGGCTTTGGCACCCACCTAGTTTCCTTAAATGCTGAAAGGGAGGGAGAAAGGAAATCAACACACCCTCCGACTGTTCTGCATTCATGTCAACAGTGTAAATTGTAATTCGGGAGAGCTAAGAGAGCATCGCTTCTAGTGCTCGGGGCTGGGACTGGAGCTGCGGGCTGGGGCTCAGGACTGGGGGCTCCATTGGGGGTGGAGGGGCTGGGGACTCAGGACTCAGGTCGGAGGGATCAGAGGTCAGGGTTTAAGCTCAGGGCTCGGGGCTGGGACTCGGGGCTGAAAGAGGGTTGCCAGCTCGGGTCCCCATAAAATGACGTCAGAGCCTCGCGTTCCCACGTCGCGCCTGCGCAGGACCCGGCGCTGGGCCCAAGGGGCTTGAGAAGACGGCTCCACTGCGCCGACGCGGCCCCGCCCCCTCACCTGGAGGCCAATGGACTCGCAGGACCCGCCCCTGACGACGCGGGCCCCGCCCCCTGGAGACACGCCGCGGCGGAGCCCGCTCCTCCAGGATAGCCGCAGGGCCGGGGCCGGGCTTGGTGGCTGGGGTCCCGGCCACCCATCGCCATGAAGCTAACGCGCCAGATGGTTCTGTCCCGGGCCAAGGCCTCGGAGCTGCATAGCGTGAAAAAGCTCAACTGCTGGTGAGGCCCAGAAGCCGGGGGCCTCCCCGCTGCCCACACCCCTGCCCTGGAATGGTGACCCCTGTCTGCCACGCCCTGCCCGGGATTGGGGCCTCCGGCTCGGCACCTCCGCCTTAGAATGGGGCACTCCGCCTGGCACCTCCGCCCTGGGTTGGGGCTTCCCCGCTCCGCACGTCCGCGGTGGGATGGGGCTCCCGGCCCGACAGCTCTGCTGTGCGGCGGGGCCGAGAAGGGCCTCTTAAGGAGCACGGGGACGAGGGAGCCTCCAGCCTTCAGGCCTCCTTGTCCCAGACTGGCCTTCCTGGTCCCAAGAGCCCACAGCCTCTGGGAGGGGCTGCCACAAGCTTAGGTGGCATTGGCTAAGGTCATTCCAGAATTTTCACACCCACACACCCCACCCTTCCCAGTGGTGGTGTTTCAGACCCAGGCTCCAAACCTGCTATCCTTGCTGGAAACAATTAGAATTACCTAGAGAACTGTTATGAGGCTTTTCCATAGCTTTAGTGGGACAGCTGGCTCCCTCTGTGGACGGTCTGGTTTCTGACATTGCCAGTCATTGGGAACCAAGTATACTAACAAGGTGGGAGATTAATGTGATTAAAGCCATTTCTAGGAACCCTAAATGGCTAGAACATTGGCCTGGGGACTGAAGGGTCCCAGGTTCGATTCTGGTCAAGGGCATGTGCCTTTGTTGCAGGCACATCCCCAGTAGGGAGTGTGCAGGAAGCAGCTGATCGATGTTTCTAACTCTCTATCCCTCTCCTTCCTCTGTAAAAAATCAATATAATATATATTTTTAAAAATAAAAAAAACATTTCTAGGAGAACGTAAGAAAATTGAGACTCTTCAGCAATGATTTAGCAGTCCTTTCTGTAACTGAGTCCTCTGGGAGAAGAGCTGTACCCAGATGACTCACTGGGAGTTGACGGTATAGGTGTTTTGGGGTCAGGCTCCAAGGGAGGAGGGTCTGCCTGGGCCTTGGCAGGACCAGAAGTGCTTCATGAACTCCTGAAAGCGGTACAGGTGTTCCCCGGGGACTCCGAGGGAGGCTTCACACGTGACTGTGAACTGGGCGGTGCAGGTGGGAGTAGGAAGCTCAGCCCAGAGCAGACCTTCCTCCCGCTGGTGCCAGGATATTGACCGCAGTGTGGGGGCTCGGCTTGCTCATTGAAAAGCTCTTCTGGCTCTGGCACATGTGCGACTTTGGCCCCACATCCCGTCATTCCTTTTCAATAATGCGTGTCCTCGCTCTGCACGGGGCGGTCAGACTTTTCTTTAAGCAGGGAGAAACAACAACTCGGCTTCAGGCTTCCTAAAGCGTTTCCAAAGTTGCATGTTTAGCCTTTGAACTTTTCCACTTACGAAGACGCCCTTGTTTGTTTACATCGCGAGAGAAATGGTCCTCTGCCACAGCCTTGAGAGGGAGTCGAACTTGGGTCCTGCAAACGGGACAGCATCCACTGCTCCTCCCAGAGAAGCTGCCCTCAGGCACCCGGTCTGTGCCCTGTGGTTTTGTTGACAATCCACCATGAGACAAGTTTGTTTTTTGTTTTGTTTTTTTTTTAATATATTTTATTGATTTTTTACAGAGAGGAAGAGAGGGGGGATAGAGAGCTAGAAACGTCGATGAGAGAGAAACATCGACCAGCTGCCTCTTGCACACCCCTAACGGGGATGTGCCCGCAACCAATGTACATGCCCTTCACCGGAATCGAACCTAGGACCTTTCAGTCCACAGACCGACGCTCTACCGCTGAGCCAAACCAGTTTCGGCCTCCATGAGATGAGTTTTGACACCTTTGTCAGTTGTCTGGGCAAGCTTTTACTCTGTCATTGAAACCATAGGATCTTAACTCTTGTAAGCATTTACTGTTAAATTTTGGAGTTATTTATAATTTTTTAATTAACCTTGAACAAAATTAACGTACATGTATCTTTTCTTTCCCCAGGGGCAGCCGCCTCACAGATGTAAGTATTCAACACCGATCCCTGATCCCAGAGTTGTAGCCTCTTCCACAAGGGAATTGTTAAGCTGCCGAACTGCACCGCTCACCTCAGGCTGTAGCCAGGTGCTTTGTTCACTTAGCAGATGTTGTGAGGCAGAACCACTAATAAAAAGTAGCATTCTCTAACAACCTTTAAACATCTGAGAGGCTCCTGCGTCCATGCGGGTCTCACAGAAGAGGGAGCATGTCCCAGGGCAGTCCTGCTTGGGCCTAGGGAAGAATCCAGGGCCTGGGGGTCCCTGTGGGCTCCTGGACTTCACCTCGGAGGAGGTTCCTCACTTCAGCTTCTGCTCCTGGGCACGTCCAGCTTCACGCTCCCCCACCAATGTCAGGAGAGATGGGGTGGGGGTGGGGGTGAGGGCAGATGGGGTGAGAACTGAGTGAGCTGTGAGTCTGTGAATAGATTTCTTCTTTTCTTTCTCACCCCTAGAACGAATGCCCCAACTTGCACAGAGTTTGAGTGCCAGTCATTCCGTTCTTATCTACTTTTGTAACTTGAACCGTGCCTTTCCTTAAAAACAAAGCTTGAATGTTGCTGAGCCATTGGGCTGTCCAGAAAAGCTGATTCCACCTCAGGCAATAGCTGAAGAGCTGCTTATTTAGTAGAAAACGCGCACGAACACACACACACACACACACACACACACACACACACACACACGAAACCCATCACCATTGCAGCAGAAGACAAATCCAATGCACTCTGAAGCATCCTGACCAGACCATGAACTTGCTGTGGTCAGGGACCATCTGGCTTCATGCCCAGTGAATGGTAGCCACTTGGCGGCTGCACCACTCAACAAGCTTAATGGACCCGCTGATTCTCTTGCTGCCCTTTCCCACTGAATCAACAGTGTGGATACCATCGAGATGCCATTTTTTTAATTCTGACTCCCTTTTGGGCTGGAGTGTTGGTGAGAAGGGGTGTCAGTACTTTTCCTGTGGGTCAGGGACAGCAAGAAGGAAGGTTCTCTGTCCAGCTCCCTGCCTTCCTTGGAGGGCTTCTAAAGTTCAGACTGCTCTGTCTTGGCTGCCGGTGGTGCTCGGTGGCAAGGCTGTTTGAAAGCTTGAGAGAGAACACATGTTTCTCCTCCAGAGAAACATCTAGGCTGCAGGGTGGGGTGGAACGCAGAACCCACGTGCTCTCGCGTCGTTGGTGCCAGGTGAGGGGGAGGCCACTACGTAGGCCCTGGAGGTGGGATTGGCTGCGGCTCCAATCTGTTGGGCTGCTAGACGTGATGCCATGAGGCCAGGGCCAGCAGGGTTTGCAGCCGCCTTCTCTTCCTCCCTAGATCTCCATTTGCCGGGAGATGCCCAGCCTGGAAGTGATCACGCTCAGGTACCTGAATGCCTGCTGTCACTCTGAGTCACGGGGGCTTGAAAGAGGCGGGAAACCCAGATGACCCGAAAACCCCAGGAAACTATGGGAGAGCCGCTGGCGCCTTGGCGCCGCCCAAGCTCCACCCTCCTTTCTGGCCTCCCCCCTGCTGCGCCCCTGCCCACCCTCTCTGCAGGTCAGTGGGTACAGCCCCCCAGTGATGAGCAGCCACCCCCACGGAGGCCACACCTGCCCCCAACAGCCCCCAGCGCCCCAGCCTTTTCTGACGCGGTTCCATCTCTGCTGGGAACTCGGCCTGTTTCTCTGAATCACGTGCTCAGTCATCGAGGACATACCTCGTTTTTGTATCCTTGGGGTTTTAACGGACTAAGGAAGCCCTGCGTGAACTAGATTCTGTCATTGGGGTTCCAGGCAGCTGGGGATCTTGGAGGATGTGCCTCAAATGCCCCCCTGGGGCCCAGTGCTGCAGCTAGTGCTGGGGATCCCTGCTGCTCAATGCTGGAGTGCTTTCTGCAGGTCCCCCTGTGTAAACCTGACAGGGAAGACAAACTCCCCCTCTATGGCAGTTCAGAAGGTTCTGGAACTATAGGCCTGCTCCATGCAGGCTCCTGTGTCTTAACTTCCTGATCACAGGGCTGGCCACGCTATTTGTCCCTCCCTTGCCCTTTGCGCCTTCCTCGGTCACCTGGTGGATGCCTGTGCTGCCCACTGTGCTCACGGCTCCCCATCCCTGGCCCAAGCCTCTTTGGTTGGTGCCTTCTCTGGGATGAATGAGCGAATAATGGGCTACAGCTGTGCCCAGGCTAAGTCCCAGCTCTCCCACCTGGGGCAAGGTTTGGACCCCCCCTGTGCCTCGGTTTCCCTTTCTGTAATACAAGATAATATCAGACAGATGCTCACGATGCTGTCTCTGTAGCGTCAACAGCGTGTCGACCCTGGAGCCCGTGAGCCGGTGCCAGCAGCTGAGCGAGCTTTACCTGCGGAGGAACCACATTGCCAGCCTGAGCGAGCTCTCCCACCTGAAGGGCCTGCCGCGCCTGCGGGTGCTGTGGCTGGCCGAGAACCCGTGCTGCGGCGCTGACCCCCACCTCTACCGCATGACCGTGCTGCGCAACCTGCCCAACCTGCAGAAGCTGGACAACCAGGGTGGGTGTCCACGCCGAGCATGCCCCAGGCACCTCCTCCTCTGGAGTCCCCCAGAAGGATCCTCGGGCTTGTCCCTGTAACGCATTATGGGGTGCAGCCCCACATGCAGAGCCAGGATCTCCGGTGAACCTCACAGAACTCGGCTGCCCCACTGCCAACACGCACTGGGTTGCCTCACACTCACCCACATATATGTGAAGTGCCTTGGCATAAATGAGAGGTCTGGGTGGGGCCAACTGGTGTCACTGCTGGTCCATGGGGACCCATGGTCCATGCCCCTGAGCTCCCCGCTTTGGCTTACCTGATGCTGGCCGCTGCCTGCTGGGGTGTGGAGCTTCACAGCAAGCCCCTGCCCTGTGCCCAAGGCGCCCTGCGCTCTGCCTCCGGTCCCACCCGCTCCGGGCCTGGACCCCTTTCTGGGCTGTCCGCCTTCTCTGTGCTGGCTCCTAATCCTGTCTTATGGGCAGTTATTTTCTCCCAGATGAACAATTTTAATATAAATAAACTCCAGGGCAATTAAGTCAAATGGAATAAATGCTGTGAATGCTGTTCCTTTTTAAATTTTAATTTGAGGGTTTTTTTTAAATGAGTATTTGCTTTTGGGAAGTGCTGAAAGTCAGGCTCAGAAGCAGCCACTGGCCATCTGCCATGTGTCCAGCTCATGCGCGGGCTGGGGCATGGCTGTTGGGGTGGACAGACAGACACCTCTTCTCTAAGGCAGAACGCTGCGTGCGCGGCGTGGTGTGGGGCCTGCATGCGTGCAGGGCGGCCGCTCTGATGCTTTTCCTCTCCTTCGCCTCGAAGCTGTGACTGAGGAGGAGCTGTCCCGGGCATTGATGGAGGGAGAGGAGGTCACGGCCCCCAGCAGAGAGGACACGGGGAATGGCAGGCCCGAGCTGTCCTACGCCCTGAGTGCCATGAACGCCGCTGCCGAGACCCAAGGGGACGCACTGAGCTACAGCGAGGAGGAGGCGAGGTGCGCAGGGGGTCTGTCCAGTTCGCCCTCTTGAGGAGAGTCAGCAGCCATGTCTCCCATCTCTGGGGAGGGAGGGGAGCGAATTGCCCTGGTGTTCTTTCTCACCTGCCCTCATGGCCCGGAGAATGTTCCAGGCTCAGCGAGTGCATGCGCAGAGCCAGCCCTTCGCGGTGGCCTGGAGGTGGGACTCGGTGAAGGGATTAGTGGGCACCGGGGCCAGCTGGTAGAGGGAATACCGGCTGGAGTGGCCTCCAGGGCAGCGGAGGGCCCCGGAGGACAGCGCTCTGATTGTCCTGGACGTTGTAGAGACGGTGGCTTCCAGGGCTGCCAGGCTCCGTGCACAGAGACGAAGCACTGTCTCTCGCATCATTTGTGTTTAGTCCCCCCACCCTTGATCCGGGGCAGGAGCCTGGGTACAGCAGGGCAGCCCCTGGGGAATCCGAGAGACAAGGGTGCTGGAGCACCTTCCCACCCTCCGGTCGGGTGCTGCCCCCTCCAGAAGCGATGGCACGTGCTGGGCGTTTGGCTTCGTAATGGTGGGTGGGAGAGCCATTCCTAGGTGTCTCTTCCTCACTTTGGCCTGGGCTCTGGGAACTGACTTTGCAGAAACGGACTGCTCAGTCCTAACGCATGTTGTCACCCCCCCTTCCTCCCCAGCATACGGGAACCGCTCGGCCCGAAGCCCCCTGCCCGGGACCGGTTTCCTTCCTTCCCACAGAGGGAGGCTGTGAGCAGCCACAAGAACAGGGTAAGTGTGATGGTGGCCATTGGCTGCCTCCGCCCAGGGTGTGGATTTGGTGGTGGGAGTGGGACGGGGGCTGGAGACACCACAAGGACTAACAAAGCCAGGCTCCAGGTGCAGGTCCGAGGTGGGGGCTCCATAGTCCCATCGTATCCTCTGAGCCCATTATCTCATGGCCATTTCCCCGGGCGTCTCATAGGAGGAATCAGCTCACATAGTCCCCCGTGTGTTTTTATCCCCACATCTTCACAGCAGACATGGCAGGGTTTCCCCGCTTGAAGGCAGGTAGAAACTGAGTACAGGCACATTGACACACACATACGCACACATATTTGAGCACGCGTTACTGAGTCGCCCTTGGCTGCTTCTGATTCCTGCTCGACCACTGACCAGCTCCCCAAGGCAGGGAGCACCACCCCGGAACTGCAGCTGGGAACTTAGGCTGCCCGAGTCTCCATCTAGCCGTGTGGATGGTTGGTTGCGTGGAAGGCCGATTCCCCATGACGTGGCGTGCTGCTGGCCAGGGCCCTGGGCACATTATGGTGTGGGCATCCTGGCCTTGTCGGTGTGGCACTCAGCCAGTAACTGTGCCCCCAGAACAACGTCCTGACTGCCATCCTCCTGCTGCTTCGGGACTTGGACACGGAGGGGCTGGAGGCCGTGCACCAGACCGTGGTCAGCAGGCTGCAGGCTCTGCACAGACAGGAGCTGCAGGAGGACATGGAGTGACCCAGCGGGGACCCCGCACTGCAGGACCTTCTGCTGAAGTCCCAGTCTTCCCGATCACCCGGGAGGTGAGGCTGATTGCCACCACTGCGGTCGCTGCCGGATCCTAGGCCGGTCCCAGCACCTGTGGCTTGTCCTCAGGAAGCCCAGCCCGCCCTGGAAGGCCACGCTCTCACTTTGGCAGCATCCGGAGAGGGCCGGAGGGGCATCAGGGCTGGCTGGAGAGACCCCGCGCCCTCGCCCTCCTGCGCGGGCCGCCCTTCTCCCTAATAAACCTTTCCCGAAGCCCCGCCTGGAAGCGGGTCTCCTGTGACAGGCACGGCCTTGGCTTTCTTTGTGAAAGTGAGAGTGGTTTCCCGCAGGCCGTCTCTCTGACTCGGTCATGGGGAGCATTTCTGGGCTCAGGAGCCTTCCAGAATCATGGCCCCCCTGCAGACAGACGCCCTCCTCAGAGTCACATCAACAGAGGGTTTGTGGGGGACTCTGTGGACAGGCCTTGGAGGAACAGGCCTGCGCGTCTGCCTGGGGATCCAGGCGCGGCCACAGCAGGAGCCGCTGGGCCAGTAGGACGGCCTCGGAACTGCAGATATCTAACGCGTGTTCTTCCTCTGGGATGTGACAGGCCCTTCCCTGATGCTAAGTATCCAGGGGGGCGGGGATGCTGCAGCCCGGGGGGGCCTTCCTGGTGCCTCCAAAAGCTGAGGAGGCCGCTCTGTGGAAGGAGAGCAGTATGACCTCCTCCCGTCCCCCCCCCCCCACGCCCCCGCCATTAGAGACAAGCCTGTTGAAACAAGTGGGCTGGAGAGGGAGACAGGCCCTTCCGCTGCCCCTTCCCCACTTTGGGGAGGGACTGTCCGCATCCCTGAGAGCTGAGCTGCCAGCTTGTGTGAGAGCCACAGACCAGAGGCAGGAACCGCGTGACAGCCAGTGAGGGCGGGACAGCGTCTGGAAGACCTCGGCTCTCCTTGCCGAGGCTGCACCTGGGCCAGCTCTCAAGCCGCTGGAGGCCTCCGAACTAGGACGGGGGAGACCAAGCAGAGGCGGTGCCTCCTCTGTAGTTTGTCGGGACCAGGGGTGAGCTCTGAGCAGTGGGAGGCGAGGGGACCCTGCGTGCGGTGTCTGGGAAGGTGGCTGCGGGCCCGTGCGTGTGCCTTCTGGTCATTAAGGGATGTTGCCAAATAAACCTGTGCCTTGGCTAGAACAGGCTGCTGTGGTTCTGTTGCATTAGAACATCCTCCTGTTCCCGCTCACACCAACGTCCCTCACACCCTGGTGCCTCACTCGGGGACCCTGGATTAGGACTCGTCGGGATGCACTGTCTGCCTCAGCCCTCGGCCCCTCGCTCTTCACCGGCCCCCGCCACGGTCCACGCCAGAGCAGAGGCTGCCGCTCACTGGGCCCACTCCCTGCCACCCGCCCACTCTGCCTTTGGAGCCCTCGTGCCGGACCGGGGCAGCACATTTACCCACGGCCTCTGGTCTTCAACACAGCAGCCTTGCCCTGAATTCCCGAACCCTGAAAGCAGGGGTTTCAAGCCCAGCAGGCCTCGGCATACTCCCCATGTCCTGTTGGTTCCGTTAATGCAGGACAGGAGGCCCAGGAGGGCACGTCCAAGGCATAGCCCACACGGCAGGCGGAGCAGACCCGAGGCCCAGCTCCAGAAATGAGCGCCCGGGAGCTCTCAGGCTCTCGGACCTACGTGGTGAGGCTGGTGTGGCCCGGGCACAGGGTGGTGCCCCCATGCACGCTGTCCCCCCAGAGTGACCGAGGCTCCCACCAAGGCCTGTCAGTGCATGAAGGCAGCTGGAGGGATGAAGGGCCCAACCAGGAGACTTCTGCCCAGCATGCGCCCCCCCCCCCATGGCCTGTGGGCCCCCAGGAAAGGGCCTCCCTACAAAACCTCACAGGTCCCAGCCCCTCATCCTGGTTATGTGGTTTTCTTTCTCCATCTTTTAGAGTTCTGCTACCCCTTAGCTTACTAATTAATACTCCCTGAGCGACTTTCAGACACACCTATCTGTTCTGGGACTAGGCTCAGCACAAGTCCATCTGTTCGGCCGCCATGTTGTCTCCCTGCCCCCAGCCCCTCATCCTGAGTCTCTGCGGACACAGGGCAGGAGCCCAGATGGAGCATCCCTGGACCAGGTGCCCAGACAGCTGCTGGGGGAAAAGACCCGGACTGTGCAGTGAGCTCAGGAGTGACAGGTCCCGCCAAATCGTACCTCGGTGTCATCAGCTCATCTACCCCTCCCATCAACCCCTCACCCCCGGCGCCTGCCCCACACTGTGGATCAAGGCTCTCGCTGCCCCGAACTGATGATCAGCCCACAGCTCATGGTGGTGGTGGTGAAGTTTCTGGCTGTCTCCCCCTCCCATTGCCCACCTCCTCCAGGGTCTCCCAGCAACCTCATATCAGCCACTGCCCTGGCCGGAGACCCCAGTCCAGGCTAAGTCTGGGGGACCAGTCAAGATCAAACTTGGAGCCCAGGAACCAGGCTCAGAAGTCATCCTGGGAGAGGCCCAGGCATGTCACCTTTCAGGACAGGCTGGGGGCACACAGGTCACCCCTCAAAACAAGGCTGAGGGGGTCTCAGGTCACCCCTTAGGACAGAGGTAAGGGGCTCAGGCCACCCCTCAGGACAGCCTGGAGAGGCTCAGGACAGGGCCCGTGGAGACTCAGGTCACCTCATTGGCAGAGAGGGGTCTGCTGGTCCTGGGAAGCCAGTGTCGATCCTGGGAAGGGGGTGCATGTCTTTGAAACCCAAACTGGCCCCGGAGCCAGAGGACAGCCCCGAGCCAACCCCCATGCCAAGCACCAACAGGCCCGACCTCCCTCCCAGCCCTACGGGCCCTGCTTTGCAGACGGAGCATCCTCTGTTGGTGATTTTATTCCTACAAAAGACGGGAGGCCCTGCTCAGCCAGTGTCCAGTGCACAGGAAAAGGGGCCCAGCAAGGGACAGACGCCCCTTGGCACGAAGGCGGCGCTGGACCCGAAGGGCCACCCTGAGGAGAGACTCGGGACCATGCAGGGGTCCAAGGAGGAAGGACAGTGCCGCCCAAGCTCGGACGGCCCATGTCCCCCTGGAATGTGTGCACCCCGGGGTCCTCTGTCCTGGAGGTTGGGGCCAGGATCCCCCAGGGCAAGGCTGAGAGGCCACAGCCTGCCCACGGCCTGCCTGCCCGCAGGCTCCGGGGCAGCAGCCTGGCGGGGAGGGCCGGGCACCGGGAGGGCGGGGCGGCCTCAGAAGCCCTTGTCGATGCTCAGTGTGCGGCGGGTGACGTGCTCCAGCTCCCCGGACACGTAGTCGGCCATGCTGATGCGGTAGTGTGCCAGCATCTTCAGCATCAGCCGCAGGTTCAGCCACCACTGCTCCCGGGGCATGCGGTGCCTGGGGCCGGGCGGGACCTGGTCAGAGCCCAACCTGGGACCGCACCCCCCTCCTCCGAACCCTGGACCCTGCCCAGCCCCTGACATGAGTGGCCCATGGCGGTGGTGGCCCTCGGGGCCTGCACCCAGGATGGGCTCAGCACCAGGGACAGAGCGGGCCGCCTGTGCACTCGGGCCTGGCAGTCCGGCGGGCCCACCCCGACCCTCCCCTGTCCCGGCACACCGGCCCGGGGAAGTCGGGGCCCGTGGTCCGCCCTAACTGCGGAGGGACTCACTCGAAGTCCGTGTCCTTCTTGAGCTCGGTGACAGGGCTGAAGGCCACCGCCTTCTTCTTCAGGCCGATCACGCAGGCCGAGTCGGGGGCGTTGGCGAACACCCGCCCTGCGGACACAGGCATGTGCTGCAGCCACCACCCCCCGGGCCTGGCCGAGGCTAGGCCAGCCGAGCCGCCGCCCCACGTACCATTGCGGTAGACGGACCGGAGCTTCTCCGACATCCAGAGCATGGCCTTCACCCCCAGCTTGGTCCCGTAGTTCCGGTCGAATGGGGTGGGAGCCCCGCCCTGCAGACACAGCGGGCGAGACCACCGTCCAGCAGGGACCAGACCCAGCGGAGGCAGGCCAGGTCCCCACAGGTCCCCAAACCTGGCCCCGCTGTGACATCACGTGAGCTCTCCAGGCAGCACCCCTGGTCCCTCTTCCGCCTCAAATCGGGCCTAAAAGCCACTTTGCGAGGCCACGGCAGTGAGTGGGCTAACTAGTCACCAGATGGGATGACGCTGTGGGACGATGCATTTGGTGGTAGGCAGGTCCCCGTGAGCAAGGAACCCCCAGGGGAGAGCAGCCTCGGGGTGCACACAGCCCTCGCACAGGGCTGGGAAACCCCACAGCTCCAGCTCCTTGCAGGGCCCTGATGCAGGGTGGGGACATGGCGGTGGAGGTGACCACAGGGGCCCAGGCCCTGACCCCTCTTAGCTAGTGGGGAGGCCTCAGCCGACAGGAGCCTGGCCTCCCCACCTCAGTGATGGGATGGGAGCACTTTGTCCGGGGGACTGAGGACGAAGCAGCCCACGACCGGCACGCAGGCACCCCACAAAGATGTGCACAGAGGAGGGCCTCCTGCTGGGTCCCGGCCCCTCGCCCAGGCACAGAGGGAGGCGGGGGGCCAGGGGCCGCGCCCCCCACGCCGTACCTGCTGCAGGTGGCCCAGGACGTTGGTCCTGCAGTCGAAGATGCCCTTCCCCTCGGAGGAGTAGAGGTTGTACAGAAACTCCGTGGTGTAGTGATCGTGGCATTTCTCGTTTCTGGGAAGAGGAGGAGGAGGGGGCCTGAGTGAAGTGGGGGCCGGCTCAGGCCTCGCCCGCTGCTGAGCCTGCTGGGCCAGGCCACGGGCCTCTGACCCCACCCACTCCTCTCCAAGGCCACCTCCACCTTGTTGACCCCACAGCCAAGGCCTGGAAGCACCTGCCAAGGCTTGGGCGGACCCTCCCCCCGCCGGGGCCCAGGCCCACCCGCAGCCTCACCGCAGCACCAGGCCCCTCTGGATCTCCGTCTTCATCTTCTCCGTCATGTGCTCCACGTTGGCCTGCAGGAGGGAGTGACACGTGAGCCGGGGCCCGGGCAGCAGCCAGCACTGCCCCCACTGCAGCCAGAAGGCAGGCTGTCCCGGCAGGAATATTCCAGACTGACTAAAAGCTGGAGCCAACGTGGCCCCGGGGTGATGGGGGAGGAGCACTGGGGTGGCAGAGGGCGCTGAGAGGTATGGGTTGGGCCATGAGGCCACGAAGCCACAACGTGGACACAGAAAGGGGTGCAGGGCCACGGGCCAGCCCCCCGCACAGGCAGGGAGCTGCCAGCCTGCTGAGCCGTGGCTCCTTGTCCGGGCCCAGTCCCTGCCCCAGGAGGGGACCCGCTCAGCCCCGCGCACGGAGGAGGCTGAGGCTCAGCTCACCTTTAAGTCCTGGATGTTGAAAGGATCCTCGAAGATGTAGGCGGCGTCGGCCCCCACAGCGATGCCGGTCACGGTGGCCAGGTAGCCGCAGTAGCCGCCCATGGTCTCCACGATGAACACCCGGCGCTTGGTCCCCGAGGCCGACTGCTTGATCCGGTCACAGCTCTGGGGGGCGCCGGGGTGGTCAGGGTCCTCCCCGGGGGGCACCCGGGACCCGCTCTGCTGCGGGGACCAGATCTCCCCCCAAAGCTGACTGAGGGTCACATGAGGCCGGGACAGTCCCACCCCCGACGTGCCCAGGGCTCTGCGGCCCTCACCACAAGCTCTCCACGGCCTCAGCCGGGGCGGGTCTGCCCCCGGGGACGACAGGGGGACTGCTGGCACCTCCCAGGTGCAGGCCAGGGCATCGCTAAGAGGTCTCCCCTGACCTGAGAGCGGGGTCACTGCTGCCAGGGTAGGTCGCTGTGAACAAGGGACTGGGGGACACGTGCCCGTGGGTGCTAATGATCATGTGACATCATAACCCTCACTCAGAACAGCTCAGCGTGTGGAAGGGAATTAAAACATGGCATAGAGAATGGAGCAAAAGGCCGAAACTGGTTTGGCTCAGTGAACAGAGCGTCGACCTGCGGACTGAAGGGTCCCAGGTTCGATTCCGGTCAGGGGCATGAACCTTGGTTGCGGGCACATCCCCAGTAGGGGGTGTGCAGGAGGCAGCTGGTCGATGTTTCTCCCTCATCAATGTTTCTAACTCTCTCTCCCTCTCCCTTCCTCTCTGTAAAAAATCAATAAAATACATTTTTTTTTAAAAATGAGAGAGAGAGAATGGAGCAGGAGGACATAGAATACACAGGCTCCTGGGGTCTGGACCAGGAGGCCCTGCCCACCTCCATGGCGGCGTTGACGGCGGTGTCGGAGCCCAGGCTGAAGTCGGTGCCCGGCACGTTGTTGCTGATGGTGGCTGGGATGACGCACATGACGATGCAGAGCTCCTCGTAGCAGCCGCGGGCCTCCACCAGCTGCAGCACCCCCTCGTAGGCCTGTGGAGGGTGGGGGCTCAGGACCAGAGGGGCTGGATGGGGCGGGGGAACGGGCCCCACCCAGAAGCTCCGCAGCCCCCTGGGCCAGGGACAGTGGGGGCCAGGGAGGACAAGAAGGAGGCCTGCAGGGGCGTCCTGACCCCGGTCTGCTCCCTGCAGTCTGCAGGGGGCTCGGGCTCCTCCGGGGAAGAGCAAGGACACTGGCCAGTCACCAGGGCTGCCAGCACCCGTGTCACACGGCAGTGCCCACTGCTCCTGCCCAGAGTGCCCACTCCCGCCTCAGGGCCCAGACTGCAAACTGCTCCGTCCTTCAGCCAGAGCTGCCCCCGCTGGTCCTCCTCCTCCTGCTCCTGCTGCTTTCTCTCCCCCCCCCCCCCTCCAGCGCCTGGGCTGCCAGCTTTCATCTGAACTTTGAAGCCTCAAGAGAAGGCAAAAACCAAACACCCCTTTCCTGGGACCCTGCCAAGACCCTCCCTGCACGTGGGTTCCTGGAAGGGCCACCTCAGCACCCCGGACAGCACCCCTGCGGTGGCCTCACCTCGAAGCCTCCGATGACCAGCAGGGCGTGGATGCTGTACTTGCGAATGTTTTCCACGATTTCCTCCATGTAGCTCTTGGGCAGCGTCCTGCAGTGGCAGACAGTGAGACAAACACTCGGTGTCTGCGCAGACCGCCAGGCCGGAAGAAAGCACACACACTGCACTGACCTGCACCTGACCTGCGTCTGACCTGCACCTGACCTGTAACTGACCTGCCTGACCTGCACCTGACCTGTAACTGACCTGCACCTGACCTGTAACTGACCTGCCTGACCTGCGTCTGACCTGCACCTGACCTGCGTCTGACCTGTAACTGACCTGCCTCTGACCTGCACCTGACCTCGCCTCTGACCTGGTTACAGGGGGAAGCAGAGGCTCAGTGCCTGAGGCATATGGGGCAGGGGGCCTGCTAGTGCCCCTGCCAGGCACTTGTCAGGTGATGGAGGAGCCCCTCACCCCATGGCCTAATGAGCTCTTAGCAGACATGGGGCTGCCCAGCAGCCTTCCCCTCAGCCAGGAAGGTGAGCCCTCAGCCAGGCAGGGGCTCGATAGCATGCCCTGGCAGGTCACCAGCCACAAGGGGGACCTAGCCCCCAAGAGCCCAGGTGGGTTTCCCCGCACAGCCCCCCATTCTCCCTGCTGAGCTTACACTTTGGATCTCCCAGCTGCCCATGGTGGCCAGCTGCCAGCCACTCACCTCTTGGTGCCCAGCATGGAGCCTCCACGCCCCAGCCAACCAGCCACGTCATGCCAGCCCACCTCTTGCACCTGCGAAAGGGAGGCACAGCTTCAAGGGGACAGGCCAGAGGTGCTAGGGGATTCCACCTCAAGAGACAGACCTGTGCTCAGGGACAGCGTGCCCACAGGGGAACAGAGCAGGGTCCCGGGAGCCTGGGCCAGGCAGCTAGCGTGGACCCGTTCCCCCTCCCCGGGAAGCTTGCCCCTTGCCCTCATCCTCTGATCTGTTTTCTCAGGGGCCTGAACTGGCCGTTCCCTGTGTTTCGGCATCTGGGCCCCTGGTTTGTTTGTAGGCATGCTGGGAGGGAGGGGAGGGGAGTAATCAGCCAGTGAACAGGACGCCCACCACCGGGCACCTACCTGACCCTTGGCCAGGCCTTCAAAGCCGTCATGCACCACATACACGGTGTGACCCTGGCAGATGCCAGAACGCACCGCGGAGCGCACCGCCGCGTTCATGCCGGCCGCCGGGGCCCCCACGTTCAGGATGGCCAGGGAGAACTGGGTCTTCGGAGAAGGGGACAGAGACAGGAGCATGAGCATAGGCTGGGAGAGGCGGCCAAGCACACAAAAGTCACCGAGAGGCAGCCGTCCCCCCAGGAGTGACAAGTATCTGTCCTCAGGGCGCCATGAGCTCCCGATGAAGAGCAAACAGGCTGCGGTGCAGGCCGCGCTCAGAGCCTGCCGGCCCGGCCACAGGCATTAGCAGGATGTGGTCGCTACGGGCTATGGCCCTGCGGTGGCAGCAGGGAGGGTCAGGCCAGAGTCCACTCCTGCCCGAAGCCTCAGCTATCACCCCACACTCAGGGGTCAGCATCCAGCACTCCAAGTCCATGGTGAGTGGTACAGGAGCAGAGAGAGGCCACACTGAGCATAAAGAAGCAGGTGACACTCCTCGGCCTAATTTAACCTGATGTAGCCAAAACAGTATCACCTCAACCTGGAATCCATGTAAGAAATTACTAACAGGCCCTAGACGGTTTGTCTCAGTGGATGGAGCGCCGGCCTGCGAACTGAAAGGTCCCAGGTTCGATTCCGGTCAAGGGCACATGCCCAGGTTATGGCATTGTTCCCCAGTGGGGGGTTTGCAGGAGGCAGCCGATCCATGATTGTCTCTCATCAGGGATGTTTGTATCTCTCCCTCTTCCTTCCTCTCTGAAATCAATAAAAATATATTTAAAAAAAAAAAAAAAAAAACACAAACGTGTTATAAAAAAGGAAAGAAATGACTAACAGGCTATTTCACATCCATCTCCCACACTGTCCTTAGAACCTGGCCTCATGCCGAGTGCTCTGTGGCCACACATGGCCAGGGCTTCGCCAGGCAGTGTGGCTCCAGTGGGCCCTGGTAGCGTCCCGTTGCCCCAAAGGTGGGCACACCCCAGCCAGTTCCGGGAGGGGACGTGCAGCTCACTCTGCCTGGAGAGATGGACTGGGAAAGGAGGGGGTGATGAGCACCCCGGGCTGGACACACTCTGCAGGGATGCCCTCAGACTGGTGACATTAGTGACAATGGCCACAGGCATTTACCAACCCCACAGCCTCTGCCGAGAGGCAGCGGCCACTCCCTGTCGGCCCCCGCATGGCCGAGGCTCCAAGGGCAGTAGACCCTCCAACACTGTGTTAAGGGGACCCTGTCCTTGCCCCGCAGGACTTCCGAAACAAGCCCTGCCGTCACCCTCACCCCAGGTTCGTAGTTGTCCTGAAGGGCTCAGGAATGTCGGATCCCTTTCCTCCTGAGCTAAGTCTACGGGCCTGACTTAATTTCTTGCATCTCTCTGGTAAGCGACCGGCCACCATAACCCGCAGGCCCAGACTCTGGCTGGCTGACATCTGCTGGTCCCACAGAGGCCGAGCCTGACCCTCCCAGCTCACAGTTCAGCCCCCCCACAGGAGGGAGGGGCCCAGCCCAGCGGAGCCAGCTCAGAGCTCTCTGCTCCTCATGGGCAGATCCTGACCCTGCAGGCTCTGCCGCTCACACCGCCTCACCTTCTCTTTGGAGACCTTCTGGTGTGCAAGCAGCTTGTAAATGTTCCAGTTGTTCTCAAAGCTCCTGGAACGAAAGCGGGCCATGCACCGTGAAGCCCGCAGCCACAGCCCACTCCCTCCCAGCCCACAGCCACAGTCCACAGCCACAGCCAGAGCCCACAGGCACGACCCAGTCCCAGCCCACAGCCACAGCCACAGCCCACGATCACACAACTAAGGATGAGGAGCTGGACATGGTGCACCCCACCTCCTCTCTCTTGTTCCCCCAAACCTGGACCAGATGCCATCCCTGGACGGTACAAGACCCCATAAAACACACAATCCCTCTCAGCTAAGCCAGGACTCACACCCAGCCCACCCGGAGTCTGCGTGGGGCGAGCCCACACAGCCCTCACCTGCCACGGAGCTGGATGGCCTCGTCAAACCTCTTCTCATCCATGGCCTTCTGCACCTCCTTGGTCTTAAAGAGGAAAAGCACAGACTGAAGGAGGAGCCTGGAGCATGCACAGCAGCCACCTGACTCGGTGGCCCTGTCCCAGAGTGTCATCCTGTCCCAGCAGCGGTCACTGCCAAGGCCAGCGGTCAGGAAAGCTGGCCGAGGCCTCCCTGGCCACCCTCGCTCCTCTTCAACCTCTGGGGCCCCCCAGGGACTGGGGAATAGAGGTTGAGGCCCATCTGGCCCCCAGGGCCACAGCCAACGCCCAGCCTGCCCAGCAGGTGGAAATCATGGCAGGAGGTTCTTTCAAGAGAAGCATCAGGGAAGCCCGGTCTCCCACTTGTGCGCCCTCTCATCCCACCCTCTCCTGGCTGCAGGGCCCCCAACCTGTGGAGCCAGGGTGAGATCCCCATATCCAGCCCTTCAGCCTCTGTTCTCCACTCCCACTCTTCCAGTGGCCCCCACTCCAGCCACATCGGATGTCCCCACACCGTCTGCCAGAATTTACCCACTGGCTCCGGCCACCCGCTCCTCCTCCCTCCCTTCGCCCCAAATGCCTACCCCCAACCACCCAGTTTGCAAGGTCGGTCCATGGCCACTGGCTCCGGGAAGCTAAGTGACCCCATAAAACACACAACAGCGTGGCTCCCCCCTCTCTCAGAGCTTGTCCCACGCGGGGGACACGCACATTCCCCTCCCCAGGACTGCAGGCTTCAAACACCCTGAGGCCCGCGTGGGGGGGGGGGGCAGCACACCCAGGGGGCCGGGTCATGTGACCCAGGAGGAGGCGAGGCCGGAAAGGGGCTGTGCCGGCAGCCTGCAGGAGCCCTGAGCGGCCTGGAAGGACAGGTAGCTCTGGGGGACGAGGGGAGCCAGGGAGACCGCAGAGCGTGTACTCACCACCTGCACGCACTCCATGAGGGGCAGCCGCACAGACTGATTCCCGGACAGGCTGACCACGCAGGCCGGGGTGTCCGGTGTGCCCTCCAGCAGCGCCATCACCGCCTCCATGCCCATCTTGCTGCTCTGAGTGGGAGGAGCGGGGCTCAAGCAGGCGCAGTCCACACTCAGAGTGCACACACACACACACGCACACACGCACACGCACACGGACACATGCACACACAGACTCGCCTGGCCCTTCTCCGCTCTGAGGGCCACACTGAGCCAGCCCCCACACCAGCACAAACCCTCTATTTTCAGAACCCCCCAACACACATTGGCCAAAGCTTCTAGAACAAAGGGCGACAGAAACAGTGACCTCGTATGACCACTGTTCACAACAGCCCATCCAGACACCACTTGACGGGGTCTCAGGGAGCCCTGTTAGGAGGGTGTGGCCCGGCCCCTCAAGGCTGCGGTGACGCTACCCACCCCTGGCGCTCAGCCTGGTGGGAAGGGCGAGGACCGGAGCCAGGTTTCCGGGCTCTTTCTCCTGTGACGAGGTTTCTAATGCCTTTACGTCGGGGCTGCCCTGCGTGCGTTAAATGGTGAACATGGGCTGGTGGGCTGGCCAGCTAAACCACCGAGGGGCTGCTCTCTGTGGGGACAAATCGCAAATGCGGGTCCTGGCACAGCGAACAGGGACGGACAGACAGGTGTGCAAGAAAGCAAGGCTGCCGAAACCGGCGTGGCTCAGTGGATAGAGCGTCGGCCTGAGGACTGAGAGGTCCCAGGTTCGATTCCGGTCAAAGGCATGTACCTTGGTTGCGGGCACATCCCCAGTAGGGGGTGTGCAGGAGGCAGCTGGTCAATGTTCCTCTCTCATCGATGTGTCTAGCTCTCTATCCCTCTCCCTTCCTCTCTGTAAAAAAATCAATAAAATATATATTTTTTTTAAAAAAGAAGGAAAAAGAAAAAGAAAAAAGAAAGCAAGCAAGGCTGAGCTGTGCTCCGTGAGAGTCGGCCGGCTGGTCCCTGCCTCCTGCTGCTCCCACAGACAGCATCCGGGTTTCTGCACGTCTTGGGAGTCAGTTTTAGGAACAGCCATGGAAGACAGTTCCTGTCCCCCTCTGTACCACGCTGCAGCTCGTTAGGGGAGACTGGGGCTCCCTGAGCTCAGGCGTCTCCCCTACAACTCGGCACAGTGTGCGTGCAGGTGTCACCCTGCAGAACTGGGCTCGGCGACCAGCGAAAACGCTGTCACTCTGGCTGCAAGAACCAACTGTCTCCTCATGTCTCCCACAGGCTCCCACGACACGGCAGCCAGCCTGCTCTCCTGCAGGCCAGGGAGGCCCAGACCCACCCGCCAGCTCTGCTGCCAGGCTTGGTGGAGGGTCAGTGCCTGGCCCTTACATCCCAAACCCCTCAGGAGTCTGCCCTGAGCGTCCCCAAGGCCTCACATAGAGGTGTCTGGCCAGGTAGGCAAGGCCGTCCGAAGCCAGTGTCCCCACTGCTCGTGGGGGACTGAGGAGGCCATGGCTGCTCAGGGCAGGACAGCAGCCTCAGCCCTCCGAGGAGCAGAGCAGACGATCCAGCCTCAAGCCAGGACAGGGGCCAGCCTGCACATACAGGCACGTTATGGGGGTGCCCAACCACCCATGGCCAGGCCCCGTCTCCATTGTCTACAAGGAGATTCCCACTTTGCAGAGGACATGAAGGACCCAGCAATAATCAGAATGACAATGGCACCCTCAGGTCAGAATCCAGGCCCCCCTCCTCCTCAGTGCCCCAGTGCCCCCGGGATAGGAACTATGCTATGGGCTGGACTCGGAATCACCAGACTCGGACCCCAGGAGGACCCTGCACAGGACTGGCCCCCGTGCATCCTGCCCTCCTCTCCCAGGGACCTGCCACCGCCGTTCCAAGGAGGGCCGGAGCTGCTGACTCAGCGGGCAGGGACGGGCTGGCCAGGAGGCAGGGTCCCCAGCCAGGTCTGCGTATCCCCCTCACAGAGAAACGGAGGGGCCACGGCTCCATCTCACCCATGAGCACCCGCACAGCGAGGAGATGCTCGCGCACACCACGCATGCCACTCCACCCCCACACACACTGGGACCAGGGCAGAGCCCCACCTACCAGGATGCGGTCGAACGCCGAGGGGGTCCCTCCCCTCTGCACGTGGCCCAGCACGGTCACACGCGTGTCGAAGCCCAGCCTCTGGACCACCAGCTATTCGTTGGGAGAGAAGAAGAAGGGGGTCCTTGGGTTGGCTGCCCACCTCCACTCTCTCACCACCAACAGGCCCCAAACCCTGGTCCCTGTCCCTCCCCACCAGGCCTCAGGGATTCGGGCATGTCAGGGTCCCCACAGAGCCGGCCCAGCGCTCATGCCCACAGATGGGTTTCTGTGGACGCGGGAGGATGGGTACGTGTGTTTCTCCGTGTGGGTGTGTTTCTGGGTACACAAGTGTGTGTTTCCCTGTACACGTTCCCACGTGAGTGTGTGGAGGTTATTTCCATACACAGGGTGTATGTCTGTGTATGTGTTTCCATGTGAGTGTCTGCTGTATTTCCGTGTGTGTGTGTGTGTGTGTGTGTGTGTGTGTGTGTGTATGGAGCGGAGTCAGTGAAAAGCCTCAGGAGCGGAGTCAGTGAAAAGCAGCCAGGGGGCGGGGGCCCCCAACAGGTGTGGGGGAACCTTGACCTCTGTGCCAGGCTTCTCAGGAAGCCCAGGCATCCCCCAACATACACACACACACACACACACATACACACACTCCCCCCCACACACACATGCACACATCTGCTGTCACTGAGGAAGCCCTCCAGGGGGGGAAGGAGCCCAGCAGATGGTTGGGGGCAGGAGATAAAGGGAGACCCGCCGAGCCCCACCCCATCCCACCCATACGATCCAGGCCGCTGTGGGGCCCTCCTGCACTCACGTCCTTCACGTAGCGGGAGGTGATGGCCTTCCCGTTGCGGTCGATGGCGCCCTCAGCGATGATGATGATGTTCAGCCGGGACCCTCGGCTTCGGGTCTGGGTCAGAGACACCGGGAGCTCAGCACCCCCAGACACCGGTCCCGACACCTACCCTCCCGGGGTCCACACCGCAGGGGCCACACCCCCGTGAGGAGGGGTCGACAGGGACCCTGTGGCCCTCCAGGAGGCGGGGAGAGGCAGGTGGGGGGGTCCTTGCCACAGGCTTGGGAACTGGGGGGCAGCAAGGGAAGAAGGGGGAGGCACATGGTACAAGTGAGCACGCCCCTCCCACTCACTTGGCCGAGCCTCTCGCACATGCAGTTCTCCCAGCCGTCCTCGGGGGGCGCCTCGGGGATGAACAGCCAGTCGGCCCCAGAGGCCAGGGCGGACACCAGGGCCAAGTACCTAGAGGAGCAGAGGGGCCACCAGCTCAGGGCTCGACCCAGCACCCCGAAACCCAGACCCGAGTCAACTGAGCCTCCCTCCTTTGTCCTCCCTGCATCCAGCCCCAGAGACCTCAGCCTCCCTCCTTTGTCCTCCCTGCATCCAGCCTCAGGGCTCGACCCAGCACCCCGAAACCCAGACCCGAGTCACCTGAGCCTCCCTCCTTTGTCCTCCCTGCATCCAGCCCCATCCCGACCCCCCAACCCCTGCCAGCACACACCCAGTGTTAGATGACCACCTGCCCTGGGCCAGGGCCACCCCTGGCTCATACTCCCCGTCGCCCCGCGCCCCCAGCTGGCCAGGGCCCCCTTACCCGCAATGCCGCCCCATCACCTCCAGCACGAACGTCCTCTGGTGGCTGTGGGCACAGAGCAGAGCGAAAGGTCAGTGTGGAGCCTCTGCGGGCTGAGCCGCATGGCGGCCTCACAGGCCAGCAGGACGTTTCCCTCAAGCCCCAGGGGCCAAGCCACACTCCAGCAGCCCCGTTCCCCTCGGGGGTGCCCGGCGACACCGACACCAGAGCAGCGGACAGACCACTCTTATTCTCATGATGGTCACGTGTCTGAGCAAACTGTGGCCTTCGGTTCCTGATCAGCCTTCATGCTGAGGGTTTTTTTTGTTTTGTTTGTTTTGATATATTTTATTGATTTTTTTTTTTTTACAGAGAGGAAGAGAGGGAGATAGTTAGAAACATCCATGAGAGAGAAACATCGATCCGCTGCCTCCTGCACACCCCCTACTGGGAATGTGCCCGCAACCAAACTACATGCCCTTGACCGGAATCGAACCTGGGACACTTCAGTCCACAGGCCAAAGCTCTATCCATTGAGCCAAACCGGTTTCGGCTTCACGCTGGTTTTCACTGACCTCTGCTCCGAGGGCTGAAGGCCATTTCCCTTGCCCGGCCTGGCCGTCACTGGCCAGCAGCCGTCGGATGACCCCCCTGTGGGATGTGCCAATTCCCTGGGCCCCTGCTGACCCTGCAGAGGGCAGCCTCGCCCCTCCCAGGAGGAAGGATCCCAGGTTGCCCGCCTCGCTTGCCCACCTGGGCGAGTGGGGGCCGGGCCTCGCTCACCTCTGGGCAGTGGTGGTGATGGCGTCGATGACCTCCATGATGCGGTGCAGGGCCGAGTCGGTGCCGATGGTCATGTCGGTGCCACAGAAGTCGTTGTCGATGGAGCCCACCAGCCCAACGATGTTCAGGTGGGAGTAGGTCTGAGCCGTGCTCTCTGAGATCCTGCCTGGGGAGGAGCAGCGGGGGCAGCTGAGGCCCACGGGCCACGGTAGGGGGCAAGAAACCCCACCTCTCACCCCCCTCCCCGTCCACCAGGCAGTGTGGCCCAGGAAGGTGCCCAAGCTCAGCTCCCCCTACCCAGGTCCTGCAGTCGGACTCCCAAGAGGGAAGGGGCCACTGAACCCCTAATGCCGAGTGTAGACTCATCACCCCGAGCAGGAGACCTCCAGGGCAATCTCAGGGTGACCGCACCCCGTTTCCCGGCTTCATACGAGAGGCACAGACTGAACCCCAAAAGGTGTTTCCAACTGGCAACCTTGCAACTGTGTGCCTTGGGTGTAATCAAGTGTTAACTCTTTTTTTTTTTTTTTTTTTTAATATATATTTTATTGATTTTTTACAGAGAGGAAGGGATAGAGAGTTAGAAACATGGATGAGAGGGAATCATCAATCAGCTGCCTCTTACACACCCCCCACTGGGGATATGCCTGCAACCAAGGTACATGCCCTTGACCGGAATCGAACCTGGGACCTTTCAGTCCGCAGACCGACGCTCTAACCACTGAGCCAAACCGGTTTTGGCAAGTGTTAACTCTTACCCTCCTGCCAACTCTGACAATGTCCGTAACCCCTGTCCGGAATCCATGACAGACAAGACCGGTCCGTACAGCAAAAGGTGAGTCAGCCTGGGACTGCTGTCCACCCTGCCTGGGGGGGTCCCTGATGCTGGGTTCCAGGGGCTCCGGCTCAAACACTGACCTCACTACCAGCCAAACCCAGCCGACAGCTCCTGCAGCTGCCCAGGGTCATCTGACCTTGGGCTGGGCCAGGCCCACTCCTCCGGCCAGCAGCCAGGCAGTGTGCCCCCTCCCCCCCATCCTGCCTATCCCACTGCCCACCAGCAGCGAGGCAGGTGCTGCGGCCTCCGAGCCGCCCCCTCCCACCCACTCCCCTCCCAGCCGGCTCTGGCCGCGGACCCACCTTCCTTCACCAGCTCCTCCAGCAGGCTGCCCCACTCGCTGCGGAAGATGTTGGCGCCCGTGAGGCTGCCATCCCCGCCTATGACGCACAAGTTGGTGATGCCGCGATGGACCAGGTTGTAAGCTGCTGCCAGGCGGCCCTCCCGGGTGGTAAAGGCCTTGCAGCGGGCACTGCCGATGATGGTGCCACCCTGTGCAAAGGAGACGGGGAGCCTTGGCCAACAAGGCAGCAGAAGGAACTGGTACTGGAGGGTGTGGATGGACCCTACAGAACTGAGAGGGTGAAGTCCAGGGCCTCCTCCAGAAGCCTGGGCAGGGGTCCCTCTCCCCGGGCCTTCCTTCTGGAATATTCCAGGAGGAGAATATCCTCTTGTCTGTCTTGGAAAGTTCAAAAAAGGTAACCAAGGGAGCAGGCCCCTCTGCCCACTGCGCCCACTGACCCATTTGTGGCTCATGAGAATGACTGGCTGGTGTTGCCTGCTGGCCTGGGTAAACAGGTGACCAGTGCCTGCACCCGCCCCAGCTCTGTGGGAGGATGAGGGTCTCCCCACAGAGACATGATTCAAAAACCACCAGTCCTAGGAGTCCTGGTCCAGCTAGGTGCCCGCCCCTGCCCTCAGGCAGCTGGAGGGAAACCTGAGCCTCGGTCCCTGGGCAGGTCAGAGCGGTGATGAAGGGGAAGCCCTGTCCAGTGTCCGCTCCTCCCTGCACCCTGAGCGGAGTGAACGCTTGCAGTGGAGGTGTCCCAAGGCCATTGCCACTACACAACCCACGGCAGCCGGACGGCTGGGTGAGCCTGGAGCCAGGCCCCGTGGGACGGGTACGTTTCTGTGCGTCTGTCTCTGTGTCTCTGTGTGCGCACATGTGCTCACGGGGGAGAGGGCTCCCAGGCCTTACCAGCTGGATGATGTTGGAGACGCTGAGCCAGTTGGCTGGCTTGATGTTCTCGCCTCCTTCCACAAGGCCTTCGTAGCCCTGAAACCGAGGAGCACAGGCATGAGGCAGGCACCCACAGCAGCCGGACAGCACTCCTGTCCCTGAGCGGGGGACTTGGAACCTGGCCAGCACCCCATCCGACAGGAAGGAGGCTCCTGGGTCCTGGCCACCGAGGCCCCGGGGCCTTGGACAATGAAGCCGGGGGTGGCCAACCGTCCAGGGGAGAGGCCAGGCCACCAGGCGGGCCTCCCGGAGCCTCTGTGAGGCTGAGAAGCTGCTTGTTACAGAGTGTGACTCACAGGGCACTGTGCTCCTGTCACAGGTGGCCCACCTGGCGAGGGTTCGAGACCAGGACAGTGCCCCGCAGCGCTCTGCCCTTCCAAGAGGAGGAACCAGGAGGAACCAGCTGTCCTGCCTCCTAAGGGCACCGCTTAGACGTAGAAGTGACAGCAGTGTCTGCTCTGTGTGTCTGGCTTTCCCTCAGCCTGGAGTCTCCAGGGTCCCACCTCGCTGTGCACAGCCGTGTCTGTTTGCTTTGCGCCCCAGACCACTGTGTGAGCCCCAGCCATGGTCCATCCACCAATGACGGACACGGGGAAAGTCTCCAGCTTCAGGCTGTTAGAAATACGGCTGCTAAGGATGCACATATTTCTCGCGAGAGGGCTCCAGAGAGCTGGGTGCCTGAGCAGCTAGCAGGGGCTCCTGTGGTGCCCGCTGGGCTGTGCTGACCTCCTCCCCCGCCAGCCACACAGCAGGGCTTCGTGGTGCTCCAGCCCACAGTGCCGGCCATGCTAGTCTTCCCCGGGGTCTGCAGTGGGTCCCTGCAGTTGGTTGTGCGTTAAATTTCCCCAGCGACCCCTTACTGTTTTGCTTTTTTTTTTTTTTTTTAATATATGTTTTTATTGAGTTTTAGAGAAAGAGGGAGAGAGATATAGAAACACTGATGAAAGACAAACATCAATTGGCTGCCTCCTGCATGCCCCCTACTGGGGATCAAGCCTGCAATCCAGGCATGTGCCCTGATGAGGAATTGAACCAGTGACCTCTTGGTGCATGAGTCAAGGGCCAGAGCTCAACCACTGAGCCACACCGGCCAGGCCACTTGCTGCTTTTCTATGACATAAGCCACTGACCGTCTGGACCATGTCTCTGAGAAGAGCTTGGTCAGGTGTCCTGTCAGTTTTCTCTGTCACATGACTACTCCTTCCTTATCAGTGGGAGTGCTTTACACAGTCTGGATAGAGGACAGGTGCATTTTACAAACGGTAAAAAGACAGGCCCCGCCCTGCTGAGATGAGCAGGGCTGCCTCCTCCAGGCAGTCCTCCAGCCCCTCCAGTGAAGTAGTAGATAAGTCACTGCCCCTGCTTGGGGCTAGAGCCCAGCTTGGCTCTGGGCATCTACCTCCCTACTGCCTCCTCCCTCTAGGCCGTCCCACCTTTGTTCTGTCACCTAGGCCTATAGGGTCCTGGGCAGCGAGGCCCTGGAGGCAGCAAATGCTCCCGCTGCTGGGGGTGGAGGTGGAGCACTACCCAGGAAAGAATGCAGGGGGGTCCCCGGGAGGAATGTTTCTTCAATTCAGGACATAACAGGTCCCCTCACCAGCCCCACAGCCTGCCGGAGTTGGCAAGGCAGGTGCCCATCCTTCCAGGAACCAAAATTAGGAGAAGGTTCTCGGGGCCACAGGAGGAGTGAGACCCCCAAGCTGGGGACCACCACGCTACCTTCCCTGGCTTAGGCCAGGCTATGCCCTTCTCTTCCTTCCTCCCCTCCCCCATCCTTTGGTCAGGGATTTGGCCACAAGGATATGAGCGAGCCCTGCCACCACCAGCCCAGCACAGAAAAACAGGAAAATGACCTGAAAAGCCACAGCAGGCACTGCCTGGGGCAAAGCAGCAACAAACAGGCAGGTCTCAAAGCCCAGGGTCAGGCACAGAGCCGAGCACAGCGCCAGCCTGGCCCCTGGCCACGGCGCACCAGCTCGAATCCAAGTCCCTCACACACAGCTCTGCTGGAGCCGAGGCAGCAGCACTCGTGGTGCCCGGGCCTTGGAATCAGACTGGGAACGGGACCTGTGCCACCAGCTTTCCTGGCTCTGCATCTGGGAGACGGCAGATCGTGGGCTTCTCAGCCTCCAAACCACGCACCTGCGCTAAGATGGCGTGAACGACAGGCACTGAGCCGACGTCTCCGTATGGTTAGCCTGGGCTACCCTCAGCAGGGCAGCCTCAGAGCAGCTGGACTTCTCCTAGGCCAGCTGGCTCCCCCAAAAACATCCATTCTAAGGGACCTGGGAGAAGGTGCTAGGCTTCTTTTGGGGTAGCCCCTGTCAGTTCCAGAATGCCACTTCTGCTGAATTCAGAAGGCAGAGGACGGAGATGACAGCTTCCGGTCCCGATGGCGGCAAAGGCAAATGCGGTCCTCGCCTCCTCCCACAACCACATGGAAATTACAACCAAACGACAGAACCACCATCGCTCGGAACTGCCCGAAACCTAGCTGAACAGAAGTCCTACAATTAAGAATATAGAGAAAAAAGCCACGTCAAGACTGGTAGGAGGGATGGAGACGCTGAATGCTGGTCCCACACCCAGCTGTGGAGGCAAAAAAAAAAAATCAGGAGGGTGCCTGGCTGGCTTGCTCAGTGGTTAGAGCTGCAGCTCAAAAGGCAACCAGTACATATGGGTGTTGGGGGCGAGGAGAGTGAATTGTCTATCCAGGGCTGGACAAAGGCAGCTTTCTCCCGGACAAAAGGGATGGCAGAGGCCATCGTTCCTTTGCTGAGCCCCCTGACCACAGAGCCGGCAGATGGGCAGCATATCCGAGTCTCCATCAACCTGGCGAACGTTATTCACCCCACCCTGGTGATCCCCTATGACCCCACCCCACCCAACTTTCGGACCCTCTGAAGCCATTTCCACTGACTTTTCCATACAAACAGCCTGTCTTGGCTCATGCTTCAGATTTTCCTAGAAATCTCTCAAACAAGCAGCGTTTGGCCTAGGCATATACCTCTCGCTTTAAGTGGCCCCAGGCTAGGCACTAGTGGCAGTCAGCCTTGGTGCACAGCTGGCTGCTCCCAAGCACCTCCAAGCCTAGCACAGGTAGCAGCCATCTGCAGATTATGTTGTAACACATGCTGGGGGTTCCCAAGCAGGACCCACACAGTGGCTGACCTTGGCCTGACCTCCCAGGTGGCCCTGAGCTAGTGCACCCAGTGGACAGCTTCAGACTAATTCAAAGCACCAGCCAACCACCTCCACAAGGGCAGGCTCAGCAGACAATCACATTGTGATAACTATGTAGGGTTCAGATGGGTGGCTTGATCAGGGTGGTCATTTCATAAGTTACATAAATGTCTAATCACTCCTGCTCTACACCTGAAACTAATATAATATTGTATGTCAATTGTAATTGAAAAAAAATTTTTTTAATATATTTTATTGATTTTTTTGTACAGAGAGGAAGGGAGAGAGACAGAGAGTCAGAAACAGCGATGAGAGAGAGTCATCGATCAGCTGCCTCTTGCACACCCCCTACTGGGGATATGCCCACAACCAGGGTACATGCCCTTGACCGGAATCGAACCCGGGACCTTTCAGTCCCCAAGCCGACGCTCTATCCATTGAGCCAAACCAGTCCCAGCTGTAATTGAAAAATTTTTAAAAATATATTTACAAAAAAGTCTCACAGACACAACCCTCCTCTTCCAGCCTTGGAACCTTCTAAAAAGTCTCCCTCATCCAGCTGGCGCAGCTCAGGGACTGAACTTTGACCTATGAACCAGGAGGTCATGATTTGATACCAATCAGGGCACATGCCCACGTTGTGGGCTCCATCCCCAGGGGGGGACATGCAGGAGGCAGCTGATCAATGATCGCTCTCACCACTGATGTTTCTATCTTTCTATCCCTCTTCCTTCCTCTCTGAAATCAATGAAACTATTTTTAAAATAAAAACAAAATGTCTCTGCACACCTCCGCCCACTTCGTGTCACCTCTCCCTCCCCCGCCCCCCCGGGCAGGCGCCCAGGCCGCCCAGCGCTGGCCGCAGGCCAAGGGCAGTGCTGGCAGCTCTCCTCTGTCAACTTTGAGCCCACGGGCCCAGGCCAGGCTCCCGGGTGAATAAGAGCCATATTCCCATTCACGGAGCCCTTCCCGCTGTCAGCTGTGAAAAGTGATTTAACTCACGGCACCCCATCAGCTTTGTGCCCACCATCCCCACAGAGAGTGAATCTGTACCCTCACTTAATAGGGGAAGAAACTGAGGGTCAAGGAGGTGAAGGAACACACCTGTCCCATGTGGGCAACCTCAGGCAGGGCTTGGACCCACGGTCCCTGTCGGGAGGCCACAATCCAAGGCCACTCCCAAGAGTCTCCCCACCCCCATCCTCCAGAAGACTCTGGACCAATGGTTCTCAGCCTTTCTAATGCCACGACCCTTTCATACAGTTCCTCACGTTGTGGGGACCCCCAACCATAAGATTATGTTCGTTGCTACTTCGTAACTGTAATTTTGCTACCGTTAATGAATCGTAATGTAACTGCTATCTGTGTTTTCCGATGGTCTTAGGCTCTGCAACAGCGGTTCCCAACCTGTGGGTCACGACAGACAACCTGGGGCTTTGCAGGGTCCCAGCCCCCCAGTCCTGCTTGGGCTGAGAGCGGAGCCGTGCAGGAGGCAGGGGCCTACATATTACTGTTCTTTCATTCATGCAGCCGGAGCTGGGTGTGGCCCGGCCCAGCCTGGGGCCAGGGGAAGGGGCAGGGACAGCCCACAGCGGGGAGAGAGAGGCATTGGGAGAGAGAGAGAGAGGCTGGGGTTCGCTTCTGGTTGCCTAAAGAGTGAAAACAAAACAACACAGCGCCTCCAGAAAACCACAAGGCAATGGAGGAATTCCTCCGTGTGTCTGTGGCCATGTCAGCCCCAAATGTGACACAGGGACTGAGGGGTCTGGGAGAATGACTGGTGAGGACATAAGAGGATACTCTGCCACTTGTCCAAGGGGGCTGTTTGCCTTTGTTACCTGGGTGATGCACACAGCGCTGTGTGTAAGGGATGAGGGGGCTGGAGGAAGGAAGGGGACCGGGCTGGAGGACGACAGGTGGAGGCTCCGGCCTCACAGGAGGAGAACAGCTGCTTTATGCCCTCCTAGCTCCCAGGGACATGGCCCACGTCACAAGCACCCAGACTGGGGGGAAGGCTCCTCACCCCACCCCAGAGCAGGGGCCCCGCTCCCTCCCATTCTGCCTCCTCCTCACCCTCGCCTCCCTCTCGGCCCGAGCCTGGAGTTAAACAAGTGACCGCTGTGAGAAGGGAGGTGTCCCCCCTCCCTCCGACTCCCCACTGAGCACGGAGCCCCCCAGTGTGGGGCCCGGACCCCGCCCGGCCTTACCTCGTAGATGAGGAACACCTTGGCTCCCACATAGATGCCCATTCGCGTCACGGCCCTGACGGCGGCATTCATACCTGGGAGGGAGGAGGGGGGACATGGTCAGTGCACGGATGTCCGGACCCTGGACCAGCCTCTTCAGGAGGGGCCAAGCCAGGAGGGGGGGGGTCCAGCCCCAGGTCACAGGGTGAACCCAGTCATTTTAGCTTTGGAACATTCGGGGACAAACCAGGAAACTCCCCATCAGGCCTCACGCAGCCCGAGTGTGAGCACCAGGTGTGTGCAATCAGCCATCACTTCCGGCCTCATCGAGCCCCTGCTGCCCCCTCAGCCTCCACTATGACCATGACCCTGGGGGCAGCTCAGGAGCACCCTGAGCATCAGCCCCTGCCCCAGGCCCCCGAGGGCGGGCTCTGTGAAACAGGAAGAGGGCAGTGACCTGAAGGCATGGGGCGTTGGGGGTCGGCAGCCTCAGGCAGTGTGGCTCAGCAGGCTGGCACTCCGGCCCTCCTGCCCGCACACACACTCAGGGGAGCTGCCAGGCTGGGGTGGCCACCTCTCTTCCATGTCCCCGTAGCCTCGCCCTTGTGCCCAGCATTTCCCTGCAGATCAAGTCCCTGGGAAGAGGGACATTCGTGTCGCCGGAGGAGGCAGCACATGGGGATGTTCCGAGCTCAGAGAAGCCTCAGCCCCTTCCCTCACAGCCGGTCCCGAGACCCAACGAGGGCAGAGGTGTCACCTGCGGTCCCTCCACAAGGTGCAGCCGGAACAAAGCCCTCCGGGGAGGCCCCTCGAGAGGCACGGAGCACCAGGAGTGGCCCTGTGTGAGGGCCCCCTTCCGTGTTTTGAGGGCACTTTGGGGCCTCGCCCAGGGGCCAGGCCTCCAGGTGGCCAGACAGCCAGGACTGTAGCTGCCACAGGCCTGGAGCACGCCAGGCCAGGTACCCGGGTCACTGACCCCAGTGTGGGCATCCTGAGTGGGCCCAGCCCCCACACTGACCAAAACCTTCTTTACCAAGAGTCCACGCCGCAAAGACACCAATGGCTCCGAAAAAAAGAGGCAGACAGGGACCCTATGTCTTCAGAGAGAAAGGAAGAACGACGGCATCGACCCTGGCCGGTGTGTATCAGTGGATAGGGTGTCCGCCCACAGGCCGAAGGGTCTTGGGTTCAATTCCTGGTCAAGGGCAGGTGCCTGGGTGGCAGGTTCCATCCCCTGCCCCGTCAGGGCCCACACTGGAGGCAACCAATCCATGTGTTCCTCTCACATAGATGTTTCTCTCCCCCCTCACTCCCCTCCTTTCTTCCACTCTCTCTAAAAACTAGTGGGAAAACTATTCTCAGGGGAGGATAACAACAACAACAAAGAATGGTCACCACCCAGGTCCCGTCCTCTGACTCTGCGCCCAGGGCCAGATCACAGGAGACCGGTGCTTGGTCTCCCCAAGGACCTCCCTGCTCCGTCCCCAGCCCCCCGAACGCCCCCCCCCCCCCCCCGCCTTTGTCCCTGGCACTGAGCCAGAGCACCCGGGCTCATCCTGTGGTCTGACCCTAGGCTTTCAAACGCCTTTTCCCTGAGGCCTATGCAAATGTCTGTGTGGCCAGGCACCCCAGTCACCCCTGCCTTTCCGTCCCTGAAGTCCCTGGCGGTGCCCATCTGCTTGGGCATCCAGCAGGGGCACCATGGCTTCCAGGGTCCCAACACCATGTGTGGTCCACAAGGTGACTCCAAAGTGAAGACTCCCGACCTTCACTCTGTCACACCCATCTCCCTGGTCTCCAGGTCTCCAGCCAGGGGGGAAGGGCCCGGGGGAGCGAGCAGGAATGAGACAGCGTGAGGGGGCCTCCCAGCCCCTCAGGAGGACCTGGGGCCAGGGGAGCCTGCAGGCACAGGACTCCGGACTCCTACAACAGCAGACAGGCATGTGCACCGTCCCTGTCTACAGATGAGAAGCTGGGGTCTCCGAGGAGGGTGGGGACCTGCCAGTGCCCCAGCAGATGGGGGCACCAACCCCTCCTGGGGCACAGCGAGCCGCCCTGTGCCCACCCACAGCCCCACATCCAGTGCCCAGGATTTCCCTCGTCTGGGGCACCCAGACGCCAGGGCAGGCAGAGCACAGAGACCACACTCGCAGCTTCCACACTGGGGTGAAGTCAGAGAACCCCTATTCTAAAGAAATCGTGAATGTCTCATGTGCCCCAAATGCATGGAACTAGGATAGCGGAGGCTGAAGTTGGGGGCCCAGAGAGCACCCCAGATAGCTGGGGTGCCCCAGGAGCCTGGATCAGAAGTTGTAGCTGAGGTGGGGGGTCCAAGGGCTGCAGGCTCCCCTGGCCCCTGCCTTCTCCAGTGGGGTGGGGGGCTCAGAGGAAGATGAGACAGCAGTAAAGCTTCCCGCCCTCACCCCCAACCCCCACCCCAGGGGGCCCTGACCGGGCAGCAAGTGGTTCGCTCTAGACTATCTGCCTCTCCCAGCCGCCTCGCTGGTGAGGCCACTGTGCACCCGCAGCAGGCTCAAGGTCCAAGCCCCACCTCTGGCTGGCAGGAGGGGGCCACAGCTGGGACAGGTGCAGACAGCGGGTGGGGGTGGGAGTCAGTGGCCAGGGACTCAGTCCCACCGTCCAACCCAGATGCCTCTCCAGTCACCCACCCAACCTGGCCAGCCTGGGGCCAACGCCATCTCACTGGCCAGCCTGGTAGCCACGAGGGAGCCCTGTGTTAGGATAACATTGTCAGCCCTCAGAGGGGAAAACCAGACAATGTTGAGTGAAGACTCTCAGCCCGTTAGCCCAGAACCGGAAGCCATGAAAATGGCAGCCGAGGGCATGGGTTATCCTGAACACCTCACTGTACGTAGCCTTCTTAAAAGGCATTTAAATGACCCTTTCATCTGCTTTTTGTCCTCAAAATAAACCCTGGGCCAGTGAGAAGAGTGGGCAGGGAGGTGGTGGAGTGTACTGGCTGAAGGGGCATGCGACCCATGCCCCTCAGAGAGGGCCAAGGAGGCCCATCTCATGACTTCCGGTTGGAGGAAGTCCACAATGCAACCGGAGTGACTTTGTCCCTGTAGCTCCCAGCGATCATGAGACAACGCCGGGCTCAGCAGGGCACTGCATATAGCAAGGTGACAGGTGGCATGCAGACACAGAGCCTGGCTGGGACATACGCGATGGGAGGGGACTCAGGGAGCAAAATTCTCACCTGCAAGTCCAGGACCTCAATGTCCTCCTGATCACCGGAAAGAGGCAGGTCCTGGCTGCCCTTTGGGGACTGGGAGGGGGTGCCCTACAGGGGGCGACCGAGGGGTGGAGGAGTGGACAGGCTGGGCTATTTGACAAGTCTCTAGTTCCTCCTGCACAAAGTCCTCTGACACCTCTGAACAACGGCTGTCCCTCCACTGACACTTCCTGTGGTCAAAAGGAGAGCGAGGCCCCCGAGCAGGCAGAGGACGCCACTTCCAGGCTGACTGGAAGGGACCTGCCAGGTGGCCTGGCATGCCTCCTCCTCCTCCCTGTTTACAAAAGGGGAAACTGAGGCCCAAGGGAAGTGCTTGGATCGGGCCACAGGGCTGGTCAACGTCGCCTCAACCAGGACCCAGGTCTGGCCCTTCGCTTTGTGAGGCTGGCGGGTTTGCATACATTTGCAGACTGTAACACCTGGGAGGTAAGCTGTCACCCACCCCAGCTGCTGTCAGCCCAGCACCCATGAGGGAGGCCACACAAAGGACCACGGAGGACACACAGGGGCCCAGGAAGACAGACACCCGCCTCCCAGGATTGCAGAGCCCTAAGCTGGGGGCGTCTGTGCACCTCCTCCGTGCAGCTCCAACCGGAAACCATGGCTGCCACGCTGCCAGCGGAGAGTGGGGCTGCCAGGGCTCTGGGGGAGAGGTGACACTTGCAGAGAGAGGCCTGAGGTCAGCCAGCAGGTGCCCGGACGGCCACCCTCCAGCCGTGTCCAGGAAGCGCTGCCCGTCCAGTGGGAGGCACCAGGGCCACCACTAAGACTTGACACTCTGATCTAAACGCCTGTCATTTATCCTTCCAACCCCCTTGGGTGCTGTTGTCTCCGCTGGGCAGACAGGAGCCCGGGTGGGGACCGCTCTGCCTGCAAGAGCCATGGGGCTTGGGGGCCTCCCGGGCCTCTGGGCCTGTCTGACGAGGTGGGTCCAGCCTCTCAGGGTGTGTCCTTTCTGAGAGTCTAATCTCCCCGGATGATGCTTCCCCAAGGCCACCTTCCAAGCCTGCTTACCCCAAAGCTCGCTCACCCCAGCCCGGCTCACTCACCATGCCCTAGGGAGGAACCACTAGCAAGTGCTCTGGCCATGAGGGGCTGTCGACGTGCAGTCAGGCACGCTGCCTGCCAGCCAGGCCAGGCCAGGCCAGGCCCCGAGTGTTCAACCTGAATCTGCGGGAGGGCCTCTTGCAGGCAGGGACACAGGAAGAGGCCATGCTTTCTGCCTTACCTGGCTTGTGAATGCCTCTTCTCCCTTCTGAGTGGGGAATGGGGAGTCGGTGAGGGGACGCAGGGGGGGAGGGCGGGGGAGGGGACCTGAGGAAGGGATGGAGGTGTGTATCTGCCCTCTAATCTGGAAGGAGACAGATCAAGCCCAACTGTGCAGCTGAAGGGTGCTGGCTCTGTGCCTTTCCGTCCTGCTCCTGATCTACTTAAGGCTTTCCCGAAGCTCAGGCTGTTTTCCTGGCTGTGGTGGCTCGGTGGATTGAGCATTGTCCCATGGACCAGAAGGTCCCAGGTAAGATTCCCTGCCAGTGCACATGCCTGAGTTGCAAGCTTCATCCCCAGTAGGAGGTGTGCTGGAGGCAGCCAGTCAATGATTCTCTCTCATCATTGATGTTTCTATCCCTCTCTCTCCCTTCCTCTCTAAAATCAATTATATGTATATAATATATATCAATTTTATATATAGATAGATATGTTGATATATATTGATATATTATATATAATTGATATACATCAATTATATATATTATATATTTATTTATTTATTATTATTATTATTTTATTTTTAAGTTCAGGGTGTATCCACATGGCCCAGCACAACAGGTGTCAAACTGGCCATCCCAGGTCAGAGGCGCTGAAAAGACCAGGCTGCCAGGAGGAGACGGGCGCTGGGGAGAGAGATGCTGGGATAGACCCCCCAGGCAGGGCACCCTTTCAGCTCTGCCAGGCCCCAACTGAAGGGCCTTGGCAGGCCACCACCTTGGGCTTCCCCTGTTCAGGGGTGAGAACAAGTCTGAGCTACAGGAAACTCCCTAAGCCCCAGACAGCGCGCCTTCCCGAGGTCCCCTCTCCCCACTAGGCCTCGCAGCAGCGTGCGGAGCTGTTCTGCGTGGGCATGCCCCCCACCCTGCCAGCCGGGATGGAGGGAGGGAGGGATGGATGGATGGATGGGGAGTGAGTGGGCGGGGAGGGGGCGGGCGGTAGCCGCCCTGGAGGCCTCGGTCGGGGAATGGAAGTGTCCCCAGGTCGCGCTGCAGGAACCAGGAAGAGCCGGCTCTCCAGGTCGGCGGGGACCGGCACCGCTCAGCACGGCCTGCAGGAAAGCAGGTCTCCGGAGAGGTGCCCCGGGCAGGGGCGCGGGCTCTCCGGACCGGCAGGCGGGGCACAGCGGCCAGCCCGGCGCCGGCCGCGCGGTGTCCCCAGCGGAGTCCCCGGGCCACGCCGGCGCGGACACACCTCCGCGCGCAGGGAGGGGCGGAGCGCAGAGCCGTGGCGCGCGGCACGTACGCGGCCCCCGGGCGCGGGGGGAGGATCGGGGACCGGAGGCTCATCGCGGACCGGGGGAGCCGCGGACCCCGGGTCCCGGGGAGGGTCCCGGTGCGCGCGGAGGAACCCGGGGCAGGAGGACGCCCCCGCCCGCCGCCCGCGCCCCCCGCCGGGTCCCGCTCCCCGCTCCCCGCCCACCTTGCGCGTCGCCGCCGCTGGTCAGCACCCCGATGGCCTTGCCGGCCCCGCACATCCGCAGCTTCTCCAGGTCCACGGTGGCCATGGCGGCGCCCAGACGGATGGCCCGCTCTCCGCCCGCCCGCGCCGCCGCTTCTCCCCGGCCCCGCCTCCGCCCGGCCCGGCCCCGCCCCGCGTGAGGTCACCGCTGCCCACGCCCGCGGAGCGAGCGGCCGGGAAGGGGTCCAGCGCCCCCGCTCGGCATGGGTGCACCGCTGCCCCCTGGATTTGAACCCCCAACAGCACGCGAGCCAGAACCCCACGAGTGGGGATCTGCAACCGTGGAGAGCCTCGGGCAGCCGTTTTAGGTTTCTAAGCCGGTCCCGCCTCACCCAGGTACCCGTTTATTGAAGGTCTATTCCAGTGTTTCCCAAACTTCTCTCATGATGAGAATCACAGAGCACTAGTTAAGTATACAATTTTACCTACATGTTCCCAAAAGTTCTAGTTTAGCACTTCTTAGTTGGGATTCAGGAATCTGTAGTTTAACAACTCCACCAGGTGATTCTCATCATGAGAGAAGTTTGGGAAACACTGGATTCCATAATCGTCCAGGCGCCGTTAAACCCAAACCCAGCCCGGAGCTTTCCAAGGCGGTAGAAACAGTGTGGCCTTAGCATAGCCAGACACACACACACACATGTTCTCTTTCTACATATGTTCTCCCTCCTCTCTATATGCAGGGTGGGGCAAAAGGAGATTTACAGTTGTTCGTATGGAAAATAATACAATAATTAATGAAACATAATACAAGAATAAACTCTGGCCCTAACCAGTTTGCCTCGGTGGATAGAGCGTCGGGCCCTTCGGACAGAAAGCTCCAAGGTTCGATTCCGGACAAGGGCATGTACCTTGTTTGCGGGCACATCCCCAGTAGGGGGTGTGCAGGAGGCAGCTGATTGATGTTTCTCTCTCAGTGTTTCTAACTCTCTATCCCTCTCTCTTCCTCTCTGTAAAAAATCAATAAAAAATATTTTTTTTAAAAAAGAATAAACTGTTTTGAGTACTCACAAATGTAAACCTATTTTTGCCCAACCCTGTGTATATTCTCTAAATATATACACACACATCACACATACTTTTTCCTATTAAGTAGATAGACTAAGCACATACACCTCTCTGTTTCTATATGTATGTATGTAAATATAAATATATATATACACACACACTTCTTCTTTATACATAGGTAGACTATATACACCTCTATATATTTATGTGTATATACACACAGCCTATATGTGCACACATATATATTTAAATAAATGTAATGTAATACTTATCTATGTTTACTTAACAGGCTTGTGCTATCATTCTTATTGACTAGATAATACCCCAGTCTGTGGCTATAACATTATTTCTCGAAACGTTCCTTGAATACTGGACGTTTATTTCATTTTCAAATAATGAAATATCCTGGTGGTGCTTGCCAGTGGGCCCTGTGCCCGGCTCTGGTCGGCCTAGGCTCTGCACTATCAACAGGACATTCCTGCCCCCGGGGGACAAGGTGTGGATTGGAGATGGAAAGTGAACAAGTAACTCCACAGCCCTAGCCCGTTTGGCTCAGTGGATAGAGCGTCAGCCTGTGGACTGAAGGGTCCTGGGTTCCATTCTGGTCAAGGGCACATGCCTCTGTTGCAGGCTCCTCCCAGCCCAGGCCCTGGTGCAGCAGGCTCCTGTAGGAGGCAACCAATTAATATGTTCCTCTCACATCAGTGTTTCTCTCTGTCTTTCCGTCTCTTCCACTCTCTCTAAATATCAATGGAAAACTAACCTCTGGTGAAGATTAAAAAATCAATGAAACTCCGCAGAAGTTGAAAGCTGGTCACAATGGGACTGTGCCCTGCAGGGATGGCGAGGAGGCTGCGGCCAGAAGGGGCAGGAGGCTCCCTGGGGCCGGGGAGCAGCTGCCGGGTCACTGAGGGGAGGGCTTCCTGGGTGGTTGCATCTCTCTCTCTCTATGGGGCTGAGGGGCTGCAGCTGGGCACGCAGCGCATTGTGGGACCGGGTGATTACCCCCCAGCTTGGAGTCAGGGTGGAGGTGGGCTGCTGGGGTGGAGCAGAGCAGCCTTTTCCACACTGAGCAGCCTGCGCCTGGGAGCCCTGGGGGACCCCTGACCCTTCAGGGGCTGCCACCCACCGCCCAGAGGGGGCTCTCGGAGTTCTGGGGGAATTAACGCTGTGCAGCCTCTCAAAACTGTCCTCGGAGCACCCAGTCCACTGTCACGTGCGGGAGCTCCAGTTACAAGGCGGCATGCGAGGCATGCATTCAGCCCAGATCAGGTAACGAGCCGAGAGCCAGGCCCGCCCGCCGCCTGGAGCATAGCTGTGTCTGAACACTGTCTTTTCCTGAGCCCACGGGCATGTCCACATGGACCAGGCCCTTCACCTGGATTCTTAATATTTTATTGATTTTTCGCAGAGAGGAAGGGAGAGGCATAGAGAATTAGAAACATCAATGAGAGAGAAACATCGACCAGCTGCCTCCCGCACGCCCCCTACTGGGGATGTGCCCGCAACCAAGGTCCATGCCCTTGACCGGAATCGAACCTGGGACCTTTCAGTCCACAGACCGATGCTCTATCCACTGAACCAAACCAGTCAGGGCCCTTCTCCTGATTCTTAGAAGTGACCCCACATCAGCCAGTCCCTCTGGGTTTCCAAACGGGACCAGGTGCTGAGGGCAGGGGCCCAGCACACAGAGCAATTCCTAAACTGTCTATCATTTCAAAACCAGTGACAGCTGATGCCGAAACTGGTTTGGCTCAATGGATAAGGCTTCGGCTTGGGGACTGAAAGGTCCCGGGTTCGATTCCGGTCAAGGGCATGTACCTTGGTTGCGGGCATATCCCCAGTAGGGTGTGTGCAAGAGGCAGCTGATCATTGACTCTCATCGATGTTTCTAACTATCTTTCTCCCTTCCTCTCTATACAAAATCAATAAAAAATATATTTAAAAAAAAAAAAAAAAAAAGCCAGGACCGGTTTGGCTCAATGGATAGAGTGTCGGCTTGGGGACTGAAAGGTCCCGGGTTCGATTCCGGTCAAGGGCATATACCTTGGTTGCGGGCATATCCCCAGTAGGGGGTGTGCAAGAGGCAGCTGGTCGATGACTCTCTCTCTCATCGATGTTTCTAGCTCTTTATCTCTCTCCCTTCCTCTCTGTACAAAATCAATAAAATATATTTTTTAAAAAAAAAAAAAAAACAGTAACAGCTGAGCCTCCAACCTGTCAGCTGGCCCTCACACTTTGAAGGCTGTCTCCTAACGAGAAGCTAAATTTGAGGAAGTAACCCTGGGCCATCAATGGGAGCACGGAGCTCCCTGGGGACGGCCTCCATGGACTTGTCTCAGAGGGGTTCTGAGGAAACTGGGTGTCCAGTGCCCTGAGACCCACCAGGTGAGACCCGATGGTGCCAGGGCCATACTAAGCTGAAGAGAGGGCCAGACACAGCAACAGAGGATTTCAGGGTGAGGCTGCCTGGGAGAGTGTGGACACTGATGGGCAGGGAGTTCGTGGCATCGGCGTTGCCCTGGTCAGCTCCCCAACATGCACCCACTGCCACAAACCCCATTCCCACTGGCCTCTGCAATTGTCACCCAGCCGGGTTCACTCTGGGGGTGGGCACAGGGCTCAGCAGTGCTGGGATCTCGGGTGGGCAGGGCGCTGTGAGATGGGGAGGGCTCCCCACTCCACTCCCTCCTCCCCTGCACTGGGTGACTGAGCCTGTGGCTGCTGTGGCTGTTCCCTCCCAAAAGTAGGATATTGGGGACTAGCTATGGTTATGGTAAATATTAATCACACCTCGTTAACCAAAGACTGCATTGTTGGTTGAAGAAAGGACATTCTGATCTGGCTGGGAGTTGTACACCACTCCCCACCCCCCACCCCCACCCTCTGATGTGGGAGACAACCTTCGACCTTCCAGTCAACCTTGGACCTGCCAGTCCACTTTGGAATGTGGTCCATTCTCATTCAAGAGCTGCCTTTTATCATGGAAAGATTAACAATCTTGTCCAAACAAGATTAACAATCCGGGTTGCCTGCACACCCATGCCTGCAGTCCTTACTTTCCCATTCCTACAATTCCTTCTTCCGCATGGAATCCTAGTCCTACCCTATGCACCCAGCTGGCTTATGGGGGCTGCCTGGTTTTGTGGGTGACCTGCTGATTGGATTGGAATAAACACTCATGTATGTTTCAGCCCTATCTCCGATTAATTGGCTTAAATAGTGACAGGCAACTCGGACCCATGGATTGTCCGATTACAGTCTTTCCCTTCCCGGTGACTCTCCTTGTCCAGGACCCAGCCTCCACGCTGGGACACTCCTAGGGCATTCCCGGCTCCTTCATCCGCTCCTGGCATTGCTGTCCCATCGCCACCTGCCTGACCCAGACCGGAACAACTGCTCAACCAAGAGGTATGGGGCACTCACCCCACGCTGCTGGGAGTCAGGCCCCTTCCAGGGCTAAATAGACCCTAAACATGAGCTGTTCTAGGGGGGGCTGCCCCTCCCTCGCTCCACCCTGCAGGGGCTCCTGAGGATCCTGTGTACAGGCAGAGGGTTCCCCAGAGGAGCTGTGTGAGCCAGCCAGACCCAGAGAGGCCAAGGGCTGTGAGTCTTGACTGGGACCCCTACTCCTGCTGTCACTCCCTGCCTGGGCCTCCCTGTGTGGGAGCAAAAGCTATGTCCCACGTGAGCACAAGTCCTAGCTTTGCTGCCCACTCAGAGGCCTGTAGCCGCTTCCCTTCCTCCCAGGCCTCTGACTTCCCGGGATCTGGGCCTTCTGTCATGGGTTCCTGCAGGTGAGGGAGCCATGACATCCCCTGCCATCCCCTCCACCAACACTGACCCAACAGCTGTGCCAGGCCCTGGGGACATGGCCCCAAACCAGGCAGGGCCCCAGGGACCGACCCCAGCTGCAGTTCTGGGAGACAGACACGCTAAGAAGAAGCAGACCAATCCAGAAGCTGGCTTCAGACCGTGGCAGTGGCCGTGAGGAAAATAGGGCAGAGGGGCTGGAAGCTCCATCAGGGAGCCTTCCGA